ATATTATGGGAACATAAAGAGACATTATTTTGTCCTCTAAAGGTTGTGAGTAGTTTTTTAGAGGGGAAAACATTTGAACTTGAAATGAAGTTGAAAAATGAGAAGGACCTCGCTAGGCAGAAAAGAAAAGGGTAGCTGGATACCCTGTGTACAGAGTACTTTGCAAAGAAGTCATGGTGTGTTGAGGGAAAGGTGAGGATTTATGTGTGTCTAGATCAGAAGATGTGAAGAGAAAGAGTGGGATAATGTGAGGTTGGGAGGGCAAGTTGTAACCACATTTGTGAAAGGTCCAAAAGACTATAATTTGGAATTAAGAGTTTTCTAACATATGGGGAACAGCGAACATTACTAGTAGGGAAGTGATAAAATCAGATTTCCATTTTAGGAAAATAAGTCTAGCAAAAGAATTGGCAACAGATTAGTGAATTTTAAACACTCATGTTGAGTTTGTGCATATGGAGATATCCCTTTTTTTCCTTTCAAAGACATAACAATACTTTTAAGCACAGAATTTATACAAGAGATATTACCATTGCCTTTTCCTCTCACACACTTCTTCTACAGGCCACAAATAGAGCTCTGAAAAAACATGAGATCATGTTTTAATCCATCAAAAATGTGTATACTTCCAGCTTCTGATAATGACAGAATAGCTTGTGTCAGATTAGCCTTCCCACCAATAGTAATTATAAATCCTTGACAAAATAGCAAAGCAATAGCAGAAAGTGTTTATTGGCGCTAGAGAGCAACTAAAAGCAGGCTGGAACCTTTGAAAGAAGGAAACCACATTGGGTGAGATTTGTGTTTAAATAGCTTTGACCCTGAGGACCCTCTCTACCCCAAATAGAAGTAGCTGGTAGGGCTCAAACAGAAAGCAATGGTTTTATCGGCTTTAGTAATCAAAAGACTGAATTCAGCCTTGCCAGTAAGACTAGGAATTGAGATGAGGATCCCAGAAGGGAGAGAGCCACAGAGGGGAGCCACACAGGAAAATATGACCCAGAGTCATGCAAAAAATCAGTCACTATAAACAGATTCATAGCTGACCTATATACTGGAACTGGCAGACAGGGACTTTAAAATCACTATGTGAAATGTTAAGGCATTTACATGAAAAGAAGGATATAATGGGTGAGGACATGAGAAATTTCATGAAAACTGTAAGAAAAAAACCAAATGAAAATCTCAAGAACTGAAAGAATAAAGTACCCAAATTTTTTTTAAAAATTGGATGGAACTAATAGGAGATTTAACACAACTCAGTAATAAAAAGACAATAAAAATTAGCAAAAGACATGAGCAGTCACTTCCAAAAAGAATATGTATAGATGGCCACCAAGCTCTTGGCAAGATACATTATCATTAGTCATCAGGGAAGTGTAAATTGAAATCACATTAGGAGACCCCTTTATATCCACCAGAATTGCTGAAATTAAAAAGACGGACACCACCAAAGGACTGCCACAATGTAACTCTCATGCATACGTTGCTGGGTGCATATGTAAATTGGTATAATTACCTGGGAAAACTGTATGTTAGTTCTTTATAAAGTAAAACCCAGCAATTTTGCTCATCGATGTTTGTCTAATGGAAATGAAAACATATAGCCACAAAAGGACTTGCGTAAGTGTGAAGATTTATTCATAATAACTAAAAACTGTAAATACTCCAATGTGCATTCACAGATGAATGGATAAAAAAAATTATGGTATGTTCAACAATGGAATATTACTCAGGAATAAAAAGGAATGAAGTACTAATGCATGCAACAACACAGATGAATTTCAAAAATATGCTGAGTGAAAGAAGCTATTCCCCTGCCGCAAATCTCTTATATGAAGTCTGAAGTTATATAAGAGGCAAAACTTAGCTGCAGTGATTGAAATCAGAAAACGAGCTCCTGCTGGGTGGGGAGAAGGGAAATTGGATGGAAAGGGCACAAGAGAACTTTTTGGGTTGATGGAAATGTTTTGTATCTTTACTGACATCATGTTACGAGTGTATACATTTGTTAAAATTCATCAACGCTGTACTTAAAATCTGTGCATTTGATTGTATGTATATTACAACTCATAAGTAGAATTGATGAAAATTAAAAAGTAATGTAATATAGTGGTTCAACATGCCACATGCAGGAATTGAGGTAAGACTGCCTGAATTCAAGTCTTGAAGGCAGTGAATTATAATGGTTAAGACCATAGTTGCTACATCAGACAAATCTGGGGTTTTGCATCATATTGCCAATATTTTGTGAATGTATGCAAGTTATTAACCTGTTCTAAACTCCTATAAAATGAAAATGATAAAATTAGTATCTATATGATACGGTTTTCCTCAGTATAGTGCCTGGCACATGGATGCACTCAGTACATTTGAGCTGCAGTCATTATTATTAAATAATTCTCCAGCTAGACTTTCATTGCCCCATTGCAGTCATGAATGCTGGTATAACCATGAAGATTTTGAGAATTAGATTCATACAAACTGCATTAGGCTGTAATCTAAATAATGCAGACAATATGTGACTGCATATGACTAAGTACACTAGCAAATCCTATTTTAGTTATCCACTTCAAACTAAGTAACTAATTATCTCTTTGCCGAGAAAAAATGTTTACTTTAAAATACTCTTCTTTAAGCTCTTGCAAAAAATTTTTTGAACATAGAAAAATTAGAACCTAATTTTTTCCCTCGTAGTCTCACCCTCTGTTTCCCAACCCATAATTACTTTTTATATTTTGATGTATATCTTTCCAGCACATATACATGTATATACATACATATATTTACATGGATGTATATATACATGTGTATAAGTGTGTATGTATAACTTGGTAAACAAAATTATGACTATACTGTATATACTCTTTTAAACCTGGCATTTTACTTAGAAGTCTTTTCATGTTTAGGACTCTATTTACATGGAGTTGGCACATTCTTTTTAACAGCTGCATAATAGTCCATTGCATTGATGGACTTTTATTTATTTAACTAGCTCTCTACTTATCGGAGTAATGCCAAGTTTTCACTATTATAAACAACTTTGACATCTTTGTACCTACTTTTATCTTTTGTACTTCTGTTAATTATTTCATAGAATAAATTCAAAAATGTAAAATTGCTATGTGAAAGAGTTCGAACAAAATTTATTAACCTTGTTTTGTAAGAGAAAAATTATATGTGTGAGTGTGTGTGTGCATAAAGAGTAAAAGAATGAGCATCAGAATGTTGAAGAGTTCTCTGGGTGGTGGAGTAAATGATGGCTTTCATGTTCTTCTTGCTTCTCTATTTTTTTCATTTTTGAATAAGAAAAATTGTTTTAAAATAACATTTTAAAACTTACACAAAATTTCCACTTAAGGAGTTTGAGATAACCACCATTAATGGGGCACATGATACTGTAGTAAGCACTATATTCGTGCCTTTCATGCATTGTGTTATTCAAAGTCCATGCGCAACCATGTGAGGTAGTGCCGTTGTTAGTTCTGATTTCTAAGGAAACAGGGGCTTGGGCTTCATATGGCTGGTAAAGGTAGAGTCTGGATTTCAATCTAGGTTTTCTGAAATACTGTAGTCTAGAATAGTCTAGAATGAGTTCATTTTGTTGTGAAGGTCTTTGAGGACCAGATTCATTCTCAAACTTTACAGCTATGCAAATGATGGTGTAGTAAAGCCCAGATAAGCTTGTTTCTGGTCTGAGACTTGTTCAGCCAAAAGTGATGTCTTCATGCCAGTCAGTGGTAGCAGAAGCCACTTGGTCGTTAGATAAGTTATATGTTCCTCGCTGACAATCTCCTGTCTAGTATACAACTTCCTCTCGAAATAATAATAGTAGCAATAATAAAAAGCAGTGATCAATTACACAGTATTGTGGACCGTGGAAAGAGAGGAGCTCTTCAGACTGCTAATATCCTGGCCTGTTTTCACATCCCAGATTACTATTACTCTCTCTTTCTGTCTCTTTACCCTTTGTTTTGCAATCTTGCATTTCCTTGCAAGGGGCCCATTCAATAAGAACTAAGAACCCAAGTTCTCAATTTCCTAATTTTTGTGCATAATGATCTTTTAGTCTTCCACCTGTCCACTCACCCCCAATCTAGTCATATACAGTTTTAATTTCCAATGACATCAGATTTGTGTTTTTAAAAGGTGATTCTCACTGTGAAGGCCAGACATGAGGGTGGGGCGGGCAGGATGACAGGCCCAAGAGCTGCTTGGACCTGAGCTTGGTGAAGGGCAGATAGCCTGTTCATATAACAGAGCTAGAGCAGCAGCAGGAGCAATTCTGGTTTAATCCCTGTCAAGTGAGGGAGGGGCGGTCTTATGGGCCTTTATCAAGACCTAAGCTACGCTTGTCCATCATCTAGTGCCCTAGCAGATACCCTGCAGAAACACAATTGTATTTGTGGCATGCTGTTGTGGGGAGAAGGAACTCAGAGGTCTGGCTCTTGTTTTGATAGCTTTAATTCTACTCTTTCAGTTTTGAGGTGAGTACAAATGTTCCAGAGTGCCTTTCTCACTTTCTTCTCAACATTTTTTCTTCTATAACCTGTGGTGTGTTGGAGGCAACACTTACCAGCTCAGGAGATAGAACTATTAGCGTTTCTTCCCAACCCTATGTTTAATGACATCAAGTTGATAGTTTGAAACTGGACATGGTGGAGATATTTACAGAATTGAAATTGGAAAATTCTACAAATCGGGAACTCCCCCACCCCATGAGAACCTGTTGTTTAGCATTTAGCATCACATTACTTCTATAATCCTTCTACTTCTGCTCAGCACACAAACCAAACACACACATACATCCGCAGAGAGAGAGAGAGACTGAGAGAGAGAGAAACGCAGTGTTTGAGGGATTGGACACCATGGGTTTTCTTCCATGGGGCTACGGTGATCTCCAAGAGGAAAATATTGAGTTTCTTTTCTCTTCCTATCTCGAGTTTTGTGTTTATTTCCAAAAGACCAATTATGGGCTAACTTTTTTCTTTCTCCCTTAGTGGATGGCTGTATTCACAGAGCAGCTGGTCCCTGTTTGCTAGCTGAATGTCGTAACCTGAATGGCTGTGATACTGGACATGCAAAAATCACATGTGGCTATGACCTGCCTGCAAAATGTGAGTACAACTCTTTTGAACACTGTTTCAGAATCAGATGAGCACTCTTGTTTTATTCCTCAAGTGCATAAATGGAAAAGGAAATGATAGCAGTGATATTTAATTAAATGTGCTTATAATAAGATTTTATACATGGCAATAAAATGTGTCTTCAAAATATGTCTCCAAATATATATATATATATATATGTATGATGCTTAACTCTAGGTGATTTTTGTTCAGATCTTTGACAGAGTGTCTCTGAAACAGAAATAAAAATATGAGCAAAATATACATTATAATATTTAAGTGCTACAGAGTGACAGCTTCTGGAAATGATGGCAATTTCTTATTTCTTATTCAGGTTTCTTGATTGTGAATGTGTTTAGAGCAAAGGAGATCAAAGTGATGTATTGTGTTTTCAGCTGCCGTGTAAAGGCTGATTGGCAATTACAGCCAAGGCATCTGTCACACTTTGCTTTCAGGAAAAGCCAATGGAATGTGGTTGTCAGTGTGAGAATGTATTTGCTCTTTAATTGTGGAATGGTCAAAATTTCCATTATATTTGAATAGAGAGAAGTATTGCATTTGATTGACCTTGTTGCTTAGTCATTTAGCCAACTGAGTAGGGTGGTGTGGAATAAAAATACTAAGAGAGAAGCTAGTTAAAGGAACAGGCTTTTTATCACACAATCTTCAGGGCCTTGGGGGTGAAGGTAGAGGGTTTCATTGCACCATTGAGGTGTGCATTGATCTGGAAATTGGGAAACCAATTAATTGTTTATTCCACTCACCTGCTTCTCATGATACTGTCTGGGTCTGTGAATACGTTTTATGTAGAAGTGAAGTTGGTTTTGTTTTTGTTTTAACGGAGAAAATGTGACTAAAAAAATTGCAACACAATCTGTAGGATACTCTTTGGGCTCTGTATAGACAGGTTGTGTATGAATGAATTTTCCATGTATATGTGTGAATGGAGAGACAGTGTATTATCTTTTAAAGATTGCTTCGAAGTGTCTTTAAATATGAGGACTTTTAGTAAATAGTAATATATTAAAATGGTATTTTTCTTTATAAACATGATAATACTGCATTCTATATTCCTCACAGTGGGTTACTAGTGAAAATATATCAACTACATACTATTTAAGTTTTCCTTTAATGACTTCTCATTTTTCTTTCTTTGTTGATGTTTTTACCTTGTGTGAAAGAGTCAAATCATGTGTCAAATGGTCCCTCACTCCCACTTGGAATATATATTTATGTCAAATAAAGCTCCTTGTGTACAGTAGTATTTAGAGCAATTCTCCCTTTGACTCAGAGAACCTGAATATTAAAAGTGATTTCCCTTTCCAGGACTATATGGCTCTATATTTACAAATATTGGTCACTCTCTGTTTTTTGGTTTTTTGGTTTTTTTTTTCAGATTGGGAATAAGATTTAATCTAAAAGTGTCTCTGTCATGCATTTCTTGACATGTGCTTTTGAGTATTATTCTTCCATTCAAAAAGCTTGCAGGATGGGTGAGAATTAAAGACGCAAGGCTGTTGAATAAGCTAGTGTCTTATATTCCGCAGAAATGGTCAAGGACTCCTCCCCACTAACCTGGTCAGGAGCAAATGATAGGCTGTCTTCAACACTAGATTATTTGAACAAATCATAGTTAACACACTTCTCCAACAGATGTGTTTTTTTTTAAAAGAATGGATTTTGAGGAGAAAAAACATGGGGCAGAGAGATATGGAATAGAAAATAAATACAACTGTAAGCTGTTTTGCTAATTGTTTTATAACTGCAGCAAATTAGTACAGAGTATGCCCTGTACAAAACAACACAATAAAGGTTCAAAGATTGAGGTGTTCCCTTAGGCAAGGTTGAAGATTTCTGTCTCTGGTATTTGGAATTTAGGCTGCAGTCCTTGTTTTTGGGTGGATTACTGGGTGTGTGGCACAGTCCATGCTTTTAACCAGATTTGAACAGAAGAATGGCCACTTGTCCCAGGTAGAAATGTTTGCTTTCATGTGTCATATATCTACCAAAATTCCTCCCCATGATTCAGTGCCAGGTGGGGTTGTACTGATTGTCAGACTCCTTCTTAATATGGGGCAGAATGTCCTTCTTTATGCTATGTTTCTCAAACACCTGAGTAGCACACCCTACCAAGTCCTGTTGCATCTCCTCTGCCATGTTGGCATTTTTTATCACAGCCTTTCTGCCTTTCCATTGCACATGGTTACCATGGAGCCAAGGCTGGCCTACTGCAAAGGTCTCCTAGAGGAGGGGCTGGCAAGGCTCAGACCCTCTGGGGGGTAACCATTGCTACCAAAGCCATAGGGCATCTTGTCATTCTTCTTTTTTAACACCATACTACATTTGTGATATAGCTAACAGATACTACTCTGAGAACAAGCAGATTATTGGTTATTTTCAGTCTTGTATCTGTCCTTAAACCAAGGAATAATGCCTAGTCTCCTATTGACTCACTACTTTCTGTCTCATGTATTAAAACACAAATCAAACATTCTTCACCTCTCAGATTTCTGAAAACAGTCTCAGAATCACTAAATATGACCATATAAAATGATGGCTCTAGTGTATGGATTGACACCAGGGTAATTTTGTTTAATGTGCTTATTCTTGTTTGACATCCCTCTGTATAAGCTTCCTTTGAATGCCATTCAGCTTAGTTTCGACTTATTAAAGACATACAATACCAGGCACTGAGGTACAAAAGATCAATAATACCAGTTCCTGTGCTTGAGGAATTCCATGATTGAGTCATATCTTCGAGCTAAGGTGTGGCTTTCCTGGGCATCCTGGGGCAAGTGAGTCTTTGTGGGACAAAGACTTTAGACATGGAAAGTCAATCCACAGGACTTAGTACAGAATCTGTATGAGCTGAGATACTGAGAGCCTGACACACATTCAGGTCCTTGCATGCAGCCCACAGGGCACATCTAGTAAAAAATCATCCAACAGAATAGAAATACCAGACTGAAATGGTGGTGCCACCTCATGAAAGTCACAAAGTCACACGAGCTGTTTGTGGATAAATGTTGGTATTTCTCTATATTTAGAAAGATTAATGATTTATATTAAAAATGTAAAAGCAAGGAAAGCAATACAAAAATAAGTAAGAAGAGCTTACATTTGTTTTGGCACTTTTAGGATTTTACAAGCCCTTATATTTAAATTATATTTTATACATATTGTGTGTGTGTTTGTTCTCCGTTTTTCTATCCCTGAGAGATGTTTTTCTTTCTCATCAATTTGGTTCATCCATTTCAGAGTCGTTAACAATCCGCAGATGTGCTTTTGTAGAGAGAGAATGAAAAGAGAGCTCATTACATACTGTTTGGGTCATTTTCCCCCTCCATATTTAATAATTCCATGACAGTTTGACAGCAAAGACTAGTTCCTATGTGTCCTCTGTGACAACGGGTTTATCATTGTCAGGGTACCGAAGCCAGTCATCCAGCCACCAGTGATAATATCTTCAGGCATCAGCAATTTGTTTGGAAAATGCTATTGTCTGGGTTACAGACAAACTTGGTAATTTTGGACTGGTCTTTGCTCCTTTTGTGCTTGCTAAATTAATCTTTCCATAAATACTTGTATTTGAATTGATTATACTTGTAGTCTGTATTCTGTGACTCATCATGATTGGTGGAATGATAAGCCTCAGAGATTTAGTTTATTCTTTACTGCTGGATGTTTCAAATGATTTCTTTTGACTTAGAATATCTCATCATTTTTTTCAAAAGTAATCCCAAGAGTGGGAAGCATATTGACCAATATTTCATTTAAGGCTATGACTAAGGAAATGACTTAGGAAGTAGACAAAGGACTGTTTGTATACTGGGAGCTTTTGGGACCTTCTCTTTTACAATATCAGATGTTTTTTGGATTCATAATCAATTTTGGAATCCAATAGATTTTTAGAAGCTTGTCAACACATGGGTCGTTTCTATTCATGTTGTCATCATTCTACCAGAGGGTCAGCTTCATACGGGAGACGTTTATGCATCTCAGTCACGCTCCTAGTGTTAATATCTAGATATCTAGCATAGTGTCTCCTAAATATGTGCTGAACTAATATGAATGAATGAATGATCAAATGAATGGTTTCAGAACTTTTTGCCTGGTAAATAGTTTTTTGTGTGTTGCTTCTACTTCTACTTCTTTCCCTCCTGCAATCCATTCTGCCCAGTGCTGGTAGATTAATATTCCTAAATCCAGAGTCCTTATAATTACCTACAAGGCTCTAGATGATGTGACCCTCCGTACCTTTCTGACATCATCTCCTTCTGTTCTCTCCCTCACTGGCACAGGCTGCTGTGCTGATCTTTAATGCCTTTGCATTGGCATTCCCTCTGTGTGGAATTCTATTCTAGATTCCTACATGTTTGCTCCTCACCTACTTCAAACCCTTATTCAAATGTAACCTCAAGTGTCACCCTAACCAATCTATTTATAATTGCTTCTCTGCTTTATTTATAATTGCTTATCTATAGCATTTAACCTTCAAACACACTGTATTATTTACTTATTTTATTTATTGTCTGTCTCCCCCTAGCAACATGAGGTCAGAGATTTTTTTCTACATCCTTTTCATTTATTATTGTATACATACAGCTTAGAAAAATGTTTGACACCTAACAGAAATTCAAACAATATCTGTTGAATGAACGAATGAAATCTAACTCCACTCCTCTCAAAATCCTTCAATGGGTTTTTCCTCGGACTTGTTAGCCTGATTATTTTTGACCTTCCATGACTTACCGCCATATCTTGAACTACTTACAACCCTTTATATGATCTGAATTGCTCACAGTGGTATATCTGTGGATGGAGTTTGTGGTCGAGGCTATCTAGAAGGCTCTTTCCTTGATCCTTTCCAGCTGTCTTCCAGACTCATCTCAAATATCGCTTCTACCATAAAACAAGTCTTCCCTTATCAGCTGAGCTAAAAATGCCTTCTTTTACTTCAAAATCCAAAACACCTCATGTTACACGCTAAG